CAGCAAGCGGGACTGGCCTAGGGGATTTTATAGGGGTTTTAATTACTTTTAAATTGGACATTCTCAAATATTTCGTTTTAATTAAATTTTAACTAGGTGTAATATGTTAGCTTTTTATCATTTGTCAGCCGCCCTGAGTCCGAAAGGAGAAGGGCGGGATATAAATGCAATTAATAATAATAATAATAATAATAATAACCACAAACAATAAATAGACCACAGGACTGGGAGGGGGGGAACAGCTGTTGCCAGATCTCACTTAGACAACTTCTCCAAGTAACTACTTTATTTTCTCAAAAGATAATTTAAGAACTGAAAGCAAAGAAAAAAGCAAAATAAACTTCAAAAAAATTCCAAGTTCTTCTGTTCCATTGACATCTTCTTATACTTTACTCAACATATATGTATTTTTTTCAAGCATCTAGAAGCAGACCAAATCAATCAATCTCCATCATTAAAAAAAAGTTAGCAGATGGGGGTCAAGGTTATGGAATACTTTGAGTGCCACATAATAGTATCAGTCTAATTTCTCTAAATTGATTTTTTAAAACAGGAAAAAGTTTGTATCATTTTTGTATGCAACTTTCACTAACACAAGCCTTTGTTCTTTGAAGAAATATGTAATCTGAAGATAAGAACTAAATATTTACCAATAACTTTAATGCTGCATATGTGGTTTTTTTAAGAGTGAGCAAACTACTACTGCCAGAAGAATGAAAGCCTTGTTTGAAATGAACCTGATCGTGGTAAAAGGAGGTTCTTCCCATATTTTCTCCCTACAGATCATTTTGGTTAGCCTGAGGAAGAATCTAAAATCAGCAAATAAAATGAGAAAGCTCTTTTAAGGACAGTTTAGATGTTAGTAAAAGGATTCTCCTAAAAATATTATGCTAAGAGGCTGCTCCAGAGAGACATAGTTGTAATAATTTGCTTCGTAAAGGCCTAAAAATCAATATAGGCAGAACTCTATCATGCGACTTTCACTAAGCCAAATTCTACTGGACATAGGAAGCTTGCTATTATAACATTAAGAATTTTTGAAAAAACTTTAAAGCCAAATGAAAATTCCTCCATACCACTCAAAATGTATGATGTTGATAGCCTTCTTAAAAGATATATCTACCTTCACATCAGGAATGAAAATAGCTATTTCTAGAATTCCTAAGCTCAAGACCCATCCAAATAGCCCATTACTATCAAGCAGGTGCAGACCTTGAGACCATAAGGAACTTTCTTCGGATCCACATATTAGATCAGGAAATATTCCATCATCTCTTCAGCTGAATGGAATCTGTGTGTTTAGTCATTTGTTTCGGTTCTTATAGAAAGGGTTCAGAATGAACCACAACGTATGGTTAAAGTAAGCAAGATTTTGGAAACTACTTTCAACCATGACTTCAAACAGATTTTATTGTCAAAATTGCATGTTAAAACTACCATATAAAATATAATTACATAACAATTATAGCTTAGCATTAAGTGGATTATGACCAAACTAGGCCAGATTCTTTTGTAACAATTGCCTGTATATTTTGACCTTCCTTTTTTGTGGGACATGAGACTTTGCAATTTGTTACCAATATTAATATTTAAGAAATTAATTGTGGATAGCTTTCACTTGCTTCTTTCTGGCATTTAATGCCAGAAAAGATAGGCAAAATACTAACAGTTATCAGGAAAGGAAACTAAACAACATCAAATGCAACATAGTAAAAGTTGTCAATCTTCTGTACTTGGGCATTTCATAAAATATGCATGTTGCCTAATACAATCACTTGGAAACTATTAATTCTGAACAAAATCGATCTATTTATGCATAACTAAAAATGCAAAGCAGCCTTTGTACCAATCACTGGACAAAATCAACAAGAACTGAGCATTATTCAGTTCCTTCTATCCTTCCAAGGTCAGTAAAATGAGGAACCAGATTGTTCGGGGCAATATGCTTACTCTTTAAACTCTTTAGAAAGGTCTGTAAAGCACTGTGAATCAGTATATAGGTCTAATTGCTATTGCTAATTGCTATTCAGTTTGGAAGGGTAGAATTTTCAGAAAATCCTATACGGCAGGGGTATCAAACTCGCAATGTCACGTGACGTGTCGTGACGTATCACGACTTTTTTTCCATTGCCGGCAATGGGGTGGGCGTGGTTTCGCCATGACACATCTGGCCTGCAGACCGGCAGTTTGATACCCCTGCTATAAGGTATAGAGTTAATGTTAGAATGGTTAATAGGTGACCATGAACTCATTTAAAAAAAATTAATAGGAACTGATAGTGTGTGGAATTGATTGAACTGTTGAACCAATTCAATCATTCCATACCTCCTTTCATCACATCCATGATTTTTTTTTGTTATAATTACGACAATAAAGGATCAAGGAGGTATTCAAGGCAAGAAGTTTGTACTTTTTTCCTATAGTATTTGCAGAGACAACAAGAAAAATACTATGTGAGTCTAATTATTATCTCTAATAACCATTTAAAACTATTACATTCTCTTGAATTATTAAAAAAATTATACTAATATACACTCCATCACACACTCTATATTTTGCTACTTTGGTCTCAAATCAAGAAGGCTTGCAAGTACTTTATTCATAAAATCTAAATATTAAGTGTCTGGATAAATGATGCTAAGCTCAGTTTTGTTCCATTATTACAAAATGAAACATA